ATGCAATAAACTCTGTAAACTACTCTGATTCTTTTGGTTTTCTACAAATGTTTAAAGTAGGGGTGCAGATTGGTCCCTTTGTCTTCCACTATCAGCAGCTTTCTGGACCGATGTACCTTCTTTGCTATTTTCTGGTCTTTCTGTGTGTCTGCCTGGTTTTCTTTCTTTCTTTTCACCCCTCTCATGTTTTTTTCCCCCCTTCTTTTTTTTTTTTAGGGGTGGGGTGGAGACTGAGGCGGGAAATGATGTAAACATGATTCATTTATAGTTGTGCCTGTAAACAAATGATGAATTGATAAAATGTTGTGTGATGTTCACAGTCTGACAAACTGAATGCAAAACAAAACAAAACAAAGACCCAAAAAAACCAAACCCACAAACAGAAAACCAGCCAAAACCAACACCCCAAAACAACTGAGAGAATGAACAAAAAAATAAAAAAAAACTAGTAAAATATTATGACCTAAACTGGACATCCTCATCCAATCAACTCATAAATGGTAAGTGATAAAAATCTTTCTACTACAAGCTGTCAGCAATATGTGTGTCATTTTATCTGACGTTCGTATGTTGATTTTAAAAATATGTGTTCTTACTGTGTTCTTACAATGTGTAGACTTTTATTTCTTATCTTTAATCACTTAAAAAATAGTAGTACCGAATGCAAAGCTGGGTATAAGTAAATGTTAAGGAGTTCGGTTCTTGGTCAACTCACAAGCTTTCAGAAGATGGTGGATGGGGAAATATTCCCTCAAACGTCTGAAAAGGTTGGCTTTTTTTGAGCAGATATGTTCCCAAGCGTACTTACAAAAGTACACCAGCCTCTTCAGTCCTGCTTTGGTCACCCTGTACCATTTCTTTTTGTTCAGAGATCGTTTCATTTCTCACAATTCCATTTTAGTAGCATACGTCCAGATAATGAAGTTCACGACTCTTAACCCTTTCTGTACATAGCTGGAAAATGTTATTAGCAGGGCTCTGCTCTGGAAGCTGAGGAAGGGCGTGTGTGTGAGAGAGAGCGGGTGACTGCCTGTGCGAGCAGAAATACGGACCAGGACTGCAAATGAACATGACTCCAATCTGAAGTGCAAATACTCGGGCATACTTTCACCTTCAAACAGTACTGAAAAACAGCGTGGCTACTCTTTGCGCTGGGAAACCAGGTTGCTCGCAATCAACACCCGTTCCTCCCCTAAGCGGTTTCTAAATCAAGAAATTAAACTCAAGATAGTGCCAATGTTGTCTGAGTCGGTGACACTGATTCTGCTCATATTGTAGCTGATGGCGTTGTATTTTGCTGTCACGTCGCTGTTATTTAACTTGAGCCAATGCTTTCTCATGTGCTCTCGCAGGGCAGAGGTATGTTTTCCTCAAACCGAAGCATCACCATTTTGAAGCTGCGGGAGCTTGCTCTCGTTTCGAAAACAAACAACAAAACTGTGCTCAGAAAAACCCACAACAAACCACGACCACCAAAAAAAAACCCAACCCGAAACACCAAGTTCTTTGAATATTGCATGCATTTAAACCGTCTTTTATTTTCCTTTAAAGATACTCGCTAGGTCACCAAAGATGTTTCAGCAGTGGGAAGTAATTAGCTGGCTCCATACCAAGTGTTGAACGTATATAAAAAAGGAGGGTCATTCTAATCTGTCTGCTTTATCAGTTTATATCTATGTGAAGTGAGGAGCAATTCTTCCCCATACCACAAACCTTACATCTAAGTAACAATCTAAGAGAAATACGGAAATTTAAAGGAAAACGCTAAAGCGAGAGGGTAAGGAAAAGAAAATTAAATAAGTATAAACAACAACAACAACAAAAAAGATTTAAGAAGGGAAGAAAACAACCTAAGAGAGTAATAAATCATTAAATAAACAGGAATTTCAGTCCCTTCCTCATACCGACCCGCGAGTAGGAAGTGTTTTCTCAGTGCTGTCGTTCGTGCCCTCGGCGGGCCGCACTGCGGGCTCCCCACTAACTCTGTGCGTTTCCTCCAGATCCCGACACAGCCGCAGTCCCTCGCTCGGAAGA